CCCTCATAAGTCGTTTAAAAAATTCAATTCATTTTGTAAGTAAAATATACAGCTATTATAACAGGACTACTTTTACGACCGTCTTTGAACAGCCAACAACCCAATTTTGTGTTTACGACTACCAATGTTCAACTCCATAGCCTTGTAATTTTGAATCCAATCCAGAAGACAAGAGAACTCCTGGTTCAAGTATTTGGCGAAATTCGCCTTCGTGGAGGACTTTTCAACGGTACGAACTCGCATTTGCGTTTCATGGAGAGAAAAACCACAAAAACTTCCCACGGTTTCCCGGCGGCATGGGAACCACTGGATTACTAGCAAAAATGGTCAATAATTTAAAAACAATCGTCACATAAAAAAGCGTATGTTCCCGCTTGTTTAGATGAACAGGCTAGATGAGGGCCAATGACCGAGTGACAGTGCTTCACGCTCCCATGACACAGGTCCGAGGTTGCATACCCGAAAGGGGCAAATCCCTTCAGTTGGTCTATAAATGACTACCAAGCATGCTTGGGACTAAACATTGGGGGCTTCACGTTCTGCTGACCACCCAACCAGAACATCTGCTTCTTCACCCCCAGAGCCTAAAAACTGGGACGGATAAAGTAGGCCTTAGTCTTCCATGGGTTATCGCGCCTGTGAGTTTATTTATTTATTTTATTATTTTTTAAAGTAGTTAGATAATAAATGTCCTATGTGTACTAAACTTCTAAAATAAGCATGTAACCATATAAAGCTTTAAAAAATATGTAAATAAAAGCCAGATATAATATTTTCACACTTGTCAATGTTCCAAAAAATGTAATATAGCATTAAAAAAAATTATCGCGAACAATAAAAGTTAATATATAGGGTTAATTCGGGGAATTAGCACTAATCCAGTGTTGCAATTATTACATTATTTTAAAAAATTATAGCCAATTTTAAATGTTTCTAAAATTTGGAAAGGTGCAGAACGAAAAAAAAAAATTCCCAAACTAATAAAAATACAAATACTTATTACAAAATTACTTTTTAAAGTACACATTACAATAAGTATTTTCTATTTCATCACAAATTAAAAACAGTATGGAAACAAAGAGGTAAAGAAGTATAAACATAGTAGTGCAAGAAAGAGTATACATATTTGAACATAGAAGTAGAACCTTAAAGTAGAACATAGTAGTGCAATAAAAAGTATGGAACCATGATAAAAAATTGAAGTATAAACATTGGACTTATGTCACCAAAAATTGTACACAAATGAAATACTATCCGGCAATTCTTCACGTTGAATGAGATACTTAAATAAAAAGAAAGTTCAGTCCAAGTGTATTTTTTGCAAGTTGAAAATTACAAAATCAGATAGCAACCATTCGTCATTTGAGGAAACAAAGCCGAAATAAACCCGAAATTGTCTGTAAGTTCTAACTACGCCATCCATCTAGTGTTATTCTCTGAGCCCCAAACCCATCTACTCGTATGTAGGAACAAATAAAAACAAAATGGCAAAATGTTCTTTTAAAAATGGGAAATGGAAGAAACGGAGATTCGACGTGCTAAGGCGCCATCGGACGATACAGATAGAAAAATAGAGAGTATTTTCTAAAAATACTCGAAGATTCAGGAGCGGGGGAGTTGAGGCAACTATTGGTAATCCTAACACCATGGGGCCAACTGAAGAAACAGACTCAATAACACCATCCTGACGCTATTTTCTCAGGTTTCTTTTGATCCCAGGACATAAGTCTTGCTGACACTTCCTTTCGCGCATACGCGGAGTGCTATCTCCAGAGCAGGAAAAAACTTCTACAGGAGGGGAAGTGTAAGGTGGGGTGTAGTTGTAAGAATTCGGCTGAGTGGAAAAGAGAAATTGTTGCAGCTATCTTGTCAACGGGAACTCGGGAAGGCATTTTTCAAGAGAGGCGATATGATGCGAAGCTACAGTGGTTTGTAGTGCAAGGCGAAAAAGCGGTTGCATTAATAATGAAATACATTACGGTTCCTACACAGATTGGAGTGGGATATTTACAGAATCGGGCCATTCGTTGTTTTGCTTACCAGCTCTGGTGCTTCCTTTTGACCAAATAGAAGAGTTTCGAGAGAGAAGGTAATTTATAAGATAGACTAGAGTTGTTTTGGAAACAGAGCAAAATAAGCATAGGAAATGCTTAGAAATTTCTACATTTATTATCGAGATTTGCTGGAATGAATTTGAGAACTACCAGTTTGGGACAAGTATATTTAAAGTAAAAATTAAATTTTTTTTAAAAAAGATAAAATACGAAAAGATAAAATAAAAAAAAATAAAATAAAAAAATAAAAAAAGATAAAATAAAAAAAGATTAAAAAAAACATAAAATAAAAAAAAGATAAAAACATTTAGAATTTAGATAGTCTATATATTTAATTAAATACGATACTATTTTTTAAATTATATGTAATCCTGATCAGAGTGGCAGATTTTCTAGCATAAATTTTTTTTTACAAAATTAAACTTTTTGGTCTAGATAATAAAATAAAAAAACTTTTACATAAAAAACTTATTATTTGGGACTAAATCGATTCTTAAAACAATTATTTAAACACTATATCTAGTAAAATTAAAAGAATAAAAATAGTTTATTGTAATAATTACTTATTTAAATTATAAATGAATTAAATCCTTTAAAAAAAAATTTTTTTTAATCATTTATTCACTGAACGAAAGCAAATTCGATATAAAATTATTATGTTAAAAAACTTTAGTTACGTGAGATGTGTATTCGTTTTTTATTTATTTTTATTTATTTATTTTAATTTCTGCCTGTTTACGAATTTATTGTGAATAAGAATTAAAAAAAAACATCACATATTGAAATTAAAATAAAAAAAATTTCATTTTATATTAAAATTATAAATAAAATTTTAAAAGTAGGAATTTAAAAAAAAACTTTTGAATGAGGTTTAAATTTTAAAAAAAATTGAATGGGGATTAGAAAGAAGAAAAAAAAAAAAAAAAAAACGAAACATTTCGGATAATCGGGTGCAAGCGAAAATCTGCCAAAAACTTCACCAACCTTTCTTTTGTTTTTCTAAACACATAAAAAATTTAATGAAATAAAAAAATTAAATAAAATAAAATAAAATAAATTTAATTAAAAAACTGAATAAAGTTTAAAAAAATATAAAATCGGTAAATTTCCTTGCGGAAAAGCACCAAAAATACATGTTCAGTTGGTATTTGAAAGACTTTGCTTCAGTATCCTACTATTTTTATTCTGGATATATTTCATGATTTTATTTGATTCTGGATATAAGATAATCGTATCCTTATATATTCATCACCCAAATATATTTTAATAACCGCATTTTATTGTTCTGATCCTCTTTAGTAAAGTGAACTCAAAGGCATTTCACGACTCCGCCTAATTACTATCCTACCCAAAGTTACTTACAGTATAAAAATCTAAGTAGAAAAAAATGATATTTACATGAAATAATAAAGATAATAATAAAAAAAACTATAAGAAAAATTTATGATTTTTCTGAAATAGAAATCACAGAGTATTTAACAACATTTGATTGGAAATTTAGGATATAAAAAATTCTTCATTAGATTTTTTTTTCTGTTCTGTTTAAGAAACAAAACAGAGCAAATGAATACAAGATGACTAAAAATTTACTCTTATAATTCACGATCAGTCCTTTATTCTGTGCTACTTTCATAGAGACTCTGTGTTTTTCAAGATAAGGTTATTAAAAATCAATATAGAAAAAAAAATGGGAATTTTTCGGTAGATAAAAAACGCGTTAAAACGCGAAAGGATCAAACCCTTCTTTTTTAAACTATTTCTTAACAACACATCATTTATAACAGAAGGAGAGTGTTAAAATGATTAACACTTTTATGAATGCTTTATTATTTTGCAAATATTGAGTTAAATTATGTTAGTAGCATTTAGAATGACTGATTAAAAATATTTTTTGACAATTTACAATCAAAATATTTATATGTATTAAAAGATAAAAATTATAAATCAATTAAAAAATATACAACTAAAATTCTTTTAATATAAACTCAAATCAGCACATTTGAAAAAAAATATTGCATAAAACTTAAGCTACAGTTTAGAGAACAACATCATAACACCACAATAATGGGCAAAGATAACTAAAGCGACCCTAACTAATAATTAATAAAATCAATTCCACAGAACGGAAAAAAAACTATGAGCATCATTTTGACACTCCGCAATCATACTTTATAACTGACAAGCAAAACTACATCGACGCTTCGATCCAAAACCAAAAAATAATATCGGAATTTGTAGCCAAAAGACCAATAAAGATTTTGATTGGTCTAATATTGTTCTCTCTTTTATTGTGTAAGCACAAAAAAAAGTTTCCATCGTTTTCCCCTTCCAACATTCGTCGATGAACCATCGATTTTAACGATTGTTAAGAATCCACATTTAAAGGAACTGTCGACAGCCTAGAATTTGGGTCACAGACACATGGAACGACAGTTAAAAAGGGAAAGCAGAGTGGTGGGCCGGGCGATGACCGGGAACAAAATATCCACCTCCCTCCTCAAACTCCCCTATCAGTCAATAAATGAAGTGAAGAAGAGAACATGGAATTCAATTTCCTGCTAACATAAAGACTTAATTTCGGCTTTAAAGAGTCCATCAGCTTTCAATAAATTTTTGATACCTAAAGTTTATTCCCCAGATAATTTTACTCATTAGTGGATTGTTAAAAGGAAATGTCTCTAAGTCTTCTTCTGTTTGGATTGGAGATTTAAAATCTGTAGTTAATGGACAATGAAAAATTGATTTTCGTAGCGTTCAAATAGTGAATCATTATATGGTTTAGAGAACTAGTTGCTTTCATAGCATTTTTCAATTATGTTAATATTTTTGTAATAAATCTACAAATAAATGTCTAAGTTATAAAAGAGATATTTTCCCCTTAACAAGTTTAGCACAGAGTCAACAATAGTGAATACTTCAATATTTGTTTAATGAGGTGTATAATAATTTAAATATAAAATTTTAATGCCTTGAATCAATGAATAAATTTGACAACAAACCAGTAATTGTGAACTACAACAATTGAATTTGGCATTTTTTTCAGAAAAAATTTCATTGCAAAATACATAACACAATTTAAAGATTGTTTGCAATAAAAATTTAATCAAAACAGCTCAGGCATCAATCTTTTTCATTTACTCACAACATTAGAAAAAGACTCGTTTATTTGAAGTATAGTTAGCCCTTTAGTTTCAGGAAGAATACAAAATCCAAACACCACACTTATGAATGATATGGAACCATATGTCCAATACACGCCATAGTCTCCCAAAAGTACTCTAAGAACTTCAAAAGATTTGTTAGACACAAAGGCTACAAGTGAGCACATAACGCCACCCATAGCCATTACTACACTTCGGTGTTTGATGGGCACCAATTCCGGAATCATAATGTAAGGAATAGAGCCACTTCCAAGAGAGTACGAAAATTTGTATACAACGATACATATTAAAGGTACATAGCCGTATGAACGCACAGATATGGGATCTCGCACCAAAACAAAGTTATAGAATCCAAGGAATAATAAAGATATTGACATAAAACTGTATGATGTGATGTACAAAAACTTTCTCCCAGATCTATCAATTAAACTTCCATTGGCGATACTACCAATGACTTCTACAAGCGCCACCATTGCAGCAGCTATTGAAGGATCAATTGAGCTTCTAGAAGTTTGGAATATTTCTACCGTATAAGCTAATAAAGGACCGATACCACATGCTTGTTGAAAGAACATCAAAGCGAGTGAAATAAATGCAGGTTTGAAGAATTTTGAGTCAAGAAAATCCCGAAGAGCAATTCTTTCTTCTTTGTATTGAATAGAACCAAGTATGTCGATCAATTCCTTCTCGATATTACACTGCTTGCCTTTCAAGAACTTCAATCCTCTAATTGCTTCGGTAGATCTCGATGACCGCAACAGCCATGGAGGAGACTCCGGCATGAATAGCATGATACAAGAAGCACACGCTACGACACTTGCACCTGATATGGCTAGCCATGACCATCTTAAAATTATGCCCAAACTCATAATGAGAAACGCACCTATAGTATTGGCAATTTGAAATCCTGATGTGAGTTGTCCTCGTATTTTTGTTGGCGCAATTTCTACCAGATAAGTTGGAATGGCGACACAACTTGCACCTCCGCAAATTCCTCCAACGAGTCTTCCTATATAAATCCATATTAATGTAGGAGCATACGCAACACTCAGCCAACTTAACAAGTAAAACAATGATAGCAACATCATAGCTGCTTTCCTGCCAAATGCATGAGTTACATAACCTGGAAAATAAACATATTTTACTTTAATTTATGAAAAAAGTACAACACACAATTAAGACTAGAATAAATATTAATTGTGAAATTTTGTAAATATTAAGCAAACCTCAATCTCAACCTCTAGCGACTAGCAAATATTCTCTTTTCAGTTTACGCTTATCACTACATTATTCCATTTAGGGCACTTTCAATAGATAATACTCGATAATTGTAAATTTTAAAAAAAGTATTGTTTTCAACTGAAAGTATACAAGTTAAAATACATTTGTTCTATAAATCATACAGATAATATATGATCAACAGCTTCATTTAGACTAAGGAAAAGCAGTTTTCACAAATATCGTTTACAAAAAAGCCACAGCTTTGTGGAAAAATAACGTTCGTGATGCTATGTTTCAATATTTACAAAAATGAGCCAACGTGGCATTATCTGGGCTCATAAAAATTTGTAAAAATATAGAATTATTCATAATTTTGATACAATTTTCCTCCAGGTGGAAAAATCTCGCCAAAATTGGCGATATCTAAGAAAGTTCATTACGTCAAGATTGTATATACAGTTTAAAATTGCCTCAAGTATAAGGAACTTAAACTATGGCTTTATAATTTTTCTAAATGAAAGATATTCCCCTCGAAAACTGTCTTCATTAGGGAAATATCATCAGGGAGTTTCATAAAAAAAATTAAAACAAAATAAAATATTACAGTTTATGACCGATTTGAGAACGCGTATTAACTAGACAATTAAAACATTACGTTTCAGGCACACCATGTGTTTCAAAAAAAGATTGAAATTAGCAGATAGAACTCTTTAATAATGTAAAATTTTATTTTACATTATTAAAGGTATTGGTATTTTTCTTTAAAATTTCTATTTTAAATTTATAGTATTATCTTTCTTTGTCGCCTGGACAGGATTTTCCTCTTGGCGACGAATATATATTCTTTGTATTTATACAATTGTTTTTGTACCCAATCAAGTTTTGTTTGTGTTTAAAAATAAAAGTTATTCAAATTACTCAAGTAAACTTTTCCAGCTTTTCCGGGGGGGGGGGAAGCAAAAGTTTCTAACAATAGTTAAAACAGGATTTAAAATAACTTACCAAACGTTATGTTTCCAATAAGACATCCGAGATTAGGCAAACTTCCGATCCAAGTTGTTTGATCGGGGGTTAAATCACGAAACCTGCTACCAGGTTCTTTCATATCGGCTGTAGCAGGTGCAGAATACGAAGTTAGCATTCCGAGGACAGCAACATAAAGAAGAGCAGATCCGGCAGCAACATGAGTATTTCTCAAGTTATCCTTGCTTACAGAAGTTCCAGTACTAGCACCAATAGTACTGATATCGAATTTGGATACATCTGGATGGCTTACCATAGTTAAAATATAACTTTTTTGAAAGAGCAGCTTTTTCAGTAACGAAACATAACAGCGGCTAAAAAATGATAATGACGTTTGACAACTGCAAAAACGAAATAAACATATGTTTCATTTGAAAACATGAAAGCAATTTTTTTTTATACAAAAGGTAATTCAAACGGAAAGTATAACAAACGCAATTCTCAATGGATTTTGAAATCAAAAAACATTATAATAAAAACATTACAAAAAATTCATTTTGAAATGCTGAGGCCAATAAACATAAGATAATTTTTATACACTTGATAACAATGAAGATTTATAAAAAGATGAAAATAAAAAAATATAGCTTTTACTCTCACTTTTGATAAGTCAAGTAATATTAATCATAAAAAAGTCGTAATTTTTACTACTACATGATATATATTTTGAATCTACGAAGTGCAGATAATATAATCTAAGCCTTCCACAATTTATTTATTTACTTGACAAAGCTATGGCGAAGGATGTTTAAGTTGCAAATATGGTTACTTTTTAAGTTAGATTATTTTAAGGAATTATTATTTTTTTTTTATTATGACTATTTTAAATCAAAAAGTGCCAACAAAAACTGACCCGAAATTCCTCGACATTTTCGTCAATTTACCAAAAAATAAAAAATAAATAAAAAAAATTTGCAGTTTCATAGCATCTTGTGTCATTTTTTTAACTAATAGATTTTGGATTTTATGCACACATTTTATTCATAATCATCAAGCTAAAAATCTATTTTTATACTCATAGCTACAGCACACAGTAAACATTTTCTTCCTCAGTGCACGATTTGCCAATTACGTTGTATATGTATTTGCAGTATCTACATTTAAGTTTATGGTTGGTACAGATATTCAAAAAAAATTTTTTGAAGCTATACTTCTTATGCGACTTCCAACAAGGTTGCGTTAAACGTTTAACGCTACATTTTTATTGGCCGGGAAATCAAGTGGTAGGATCCAGTTTTCCCTCATTCATTTCCATATTGTTTTGGTTCTCACTAGCATAAAAATAATAAAAGTCATAAAAGTATTGTTTTTCTATCAATATTTTTTTAGTTTGTTTTGATACACATATAATTTAATAGGGTAGTATTTTTTATTTTCAAATTTAGTGGATAACAATTGTAAAAAAGAAGTGAAAACAATCCCACGGACAATGCGACGGATTTAAGGTTAAGTCAAAGGTACGTCTCTTGTGAATATCAATTGATTGTTTCTCTTCTGAAGTTACATTATGACGCATTCACATACATTATTAATACAAATGAATTTTCCAGGGCGAGACGATGAGGCAACCACAAGCACTTCCACTGGTTCAAGAGGTCCACGAGGGAAAAATGCACAATATTACAGTTATTACAGAGCAAGGAAGCGAGCGGAGCAGGAAAAAGAGTCGTTGAATAGAACTAGTGATCCTTCTACTACTGCTTATTCTTCTACAATTAACGTCGCAGGTCGCGAAGTTTAACGTCTTCCGCGCGGAGGGACTCCACGCACTATTTTTTTTTATTACTCACTTATTTATCATCATTTATTTGTAACATAACTTAAGCTTTTATTCTGAAGTTACTGATAATACCAATTCATACGAAATGTCCAGCATTCGATATTCTTTCGAATTTTTACCAATATGATTTGTAACAATCGAATACATGAGTTCTACGGTAACGATTTGAGATGAAATATCACCAAAAAAATAAAAAATACTCTTCACAAAAAGTAATATTTAACAAAGACAATAAATATAAAAAGACAATAAAATTATTTTATTTTAAAAATAGATAAATATCGCTATAAATACAATAACTATAAGGCATACCTTTTCATTAAATAAAAACAACACTTTAGGGATAACGATAACATCTTCAATAAAAGGATCGCATTTATAGCATTATTGTTAGATAATTTAAATCAAAAGCTTGAAATATCGCAACAAAAACAAAAAGGAAAATGTTATTTTATCGCATTGGAAGTTTAAATAACCACTTTCTTACCTTAAAAGATAAATAATTGTTCCGTAACAGTAAGTTGTTTCATTTCAACTGTATAAAGACACACAAAAATTACTTAATTTTTCGAGTTCAGCGGTAGGAATATCCAAAGTTATTACAAATACTTAAATTAAACACATTTCTATTTGTTTTCGGCTTTGAAAAAAATTCATAACAAAACTATTGCGGAAAAATATCAAATATAGGGATAATGTATATGAAATTCTCAACTTCAATTATACAATTATTCACGTTTGTGCTGTTCGAAAGATTCCATAACACTAAGATCTTTATTCAGCACCTGTGTAAGGAATAAAAACTTCGTCACCGGTTTTCGACATTCTTTATGCGAGCTTTATTGACGCATACCAAATCACGTGTTTATTCATATAATCCAGCATTGACTGCTGTAAAAAAGCAATACTAAGTCTTTACGGTACTTCTTTTCTTATAGAATCATTTTTTTCTTATTTATTTATTTGTAATTATTAACTAAGAGCTTAAGAGTAAAAAAAAAAAACTTAGTGTTCAACAACAAAAGCTTCGAATTCTAACAGCAACATTAAATCTAGTTAGTTGTATTTTTCAAACTTTTTCTTTTCCTTGTTTTCAATTTCAAATATGTATGTCATTTATATAAATATCAAATATTTCTTAGAAATCCATTATGTAAGAAAAAATTTTAACATCGGTTTTCAACATGTCTTTTAGTAGCACCTTTAATTTTTCATCTTTCGAATTACCTGTTTTTACAGTAAAACTGCATAGAAGCCGATAAAATTGTATAAAATTACAAAACAAATAACTGAACACATGAATATACACTCACACATACGCAATGAAAAAAAATATTTTTATTATGAAAAAACACTATATATATGATAAAAAATATGACTTTTTTTATTATTATAGTTATTATTGCTTGACATATCAAGAGTGAAAGGTATATTTTTTTATCTTTTAAGAATTCTTTATACATATATATATATGAAATTCTTAAATGATAAAAATATACCTTTTACTTTTGATTAGTCAAGTAATAATAATAATAATTATAATAAAAAAAGTCATATTTTTTACTGCAAAGTTATATAAATTTTGAATTCACGAAATGCAGATAATATAAACGAAAACTTCAACAATTTATTTATTTACTCGGTAAAGCTATAGTAAAGGATGTTTAAGTTGTAAATATGGTTAAGTTTTAAGACAGATTATTTTAGGGAATTATTATTTTAATTTTTATTTTTTATTTAGACTATTATAAATCGGAATGTACCCACAAAAAAACTTAAATCGAACACCCACGACATTTTCGTCAACAAGCAACAAAAGAAAATTTTTGCAGTTTCATAGTGTCTTGTGTCATTTTTTTAACTAATAGATTTTTGATTTTGTGCACACAACACTTTATTCGTCACTATAATAGTTAAAAAAAAAAATATTACTATACTCATAGCTGCAGCACCCAGAAAACATTTTCTCCGTCAGTGTACGATTTTCCAATTATGTTTAATAAATATTTACAGTATCTACAGAAAAGTTTATGGTTGGTACAGATATTCAAATAAAATTTTATTACTCATTTATTTATTATCTTTTGTTTGTAACATCACTTAGGATTTTATTCTAAAGTTACCGTTAGTACCAATTTATACGAAATATCCTGAGTTCGATATTCTTTCGAATTTTTACCAATATGAGTTGTAACAATCGAATACATGAGTTTGCGACAACGATCTATGATGAAATATCACGGAAAGAAAAAAAATACTACGCACGAAAAGTAACATTTAACAAAGACAACACTAAATATAACAAACAATAATAAATTATTTTATCTTAAAAATGGAGAAACAGTTACTTATTTCTTCTCAGAATGCGAAAAAGATTTGCTAATTTGGCGCATAGTTAATCCTTTAGTTTCTGGAAGTATAAAAAATCCAAACAATGCACTAATTAAAGAAAAAAAGCTGTAAGTCCAGTACACACCATAATCTCCTAAGCCTTGGCGCATGTCCTCGAATATTTTATTAAACACAAAAGCCAGGAGTGAACAAAGTACCCCGGCAGCAGCCACAACTGGGCTTCGAAACTTAATAGGTACTATTTCTGGTATCATTACGTAGGGAATAGGGCCGTTGCCAAGCGAAAAAGCAATTATGTACGTAGCGAAACTTATGAGTGGTATATATCCAACAAAATGATAACTAACTAAGTATTGATTTAATTTGAAACTGTAACTGCCAAGAACTGCTAAAGAAATAAACATTATGCTTCCTGATGTTACGAACAAACACCTTCGACCGGATCTGTCCATCAGACTTCCACTTAAAACCGTGGCAATGACTTGAACGAGGGCAACTATTGTTGCAGCAACGGCAGGATCAATCGAACTTCCAGCAGAATGGAAGATCTCCACCGTGTAAGTCATTAGTGGACTGATACCACAGGCTTGCTGAAAGAACATCAGCGCGAGAGCAATAGCTGTTGGTTTATAGATTTCTGGAAGAAGTAGCTCTTCCAAGCGAATACCTTCCTCTTTGTTTTCCGCGATATTATCCATAATCGATTGGAGTTCTCTCTGTGTATCGGTGGATGGGCCTTTTAAAAACCTCAAACCATTTTCTGCTTCCAATGGTCTAGATGCACGCACCAGCCATGGCGGCGATTCAGGCATAAACACCATTAGGCATGATGCACAGGCCACAATGACAGCTCCAGAAATTGCCAGCCATGACCACCTAAGGAAGATGCCCAGGCCCATTACATACAGAACTCCGATAGTATAAGCAATTTGAAAACCAGAAGCAAGTTGTCCACGGATTTTTGTAGGTGCAATTTCTATAATATATGTAGGAACTGCAACACAGCATGCACCAGCGCAAATTCCACCAATCAATCGCCCACAGTACATCCACATCATTGAAGGAGCATATGCAACCATTAACCAGCTAGTCAGATAGAATATGGACACAAACATCATCACTGTTTTCCTACCAAACTCATGAGTAGCATAGCCTTAAAAAAATCATTTTATTTCATATTAGTCAAAAAACTTTTGAATTGTAAAAATGTAATTTTAAAAGTCAAAACACAAAATTCGAATGAAATCTGTTAAATAGTTCTAGATAAATTGAATTTAAGAATAATTGTATGCTTAAAATTCGATTTCTTAGAAAATATTATACCGACTTCGTTCAAATTTTGAATTTTTTCACATAAAATTACATTTATTAAAATGACGTAAAAATGAATAAACCTTATTTAATAAAGTTATAAAAAATAATAACTAATTATTAAATTATTATAATAAATAACTATAATAAATAATTATACTAAATAATTATATAATTATTAAATTATTATTTTTTAAATTATTGTTTTTTGGAAAGTAATGTTTTTGGATAAACGAATTTTATACTTACGTGAAAAAAAATTTCAATTTGCTTAAAAAATTCACAAGATATGGTGAAATACTCAAATAAAATTGACATTAAGGGACCCAATCTTTGGACGGCTTTCCTAAGCAAACTATTGGGACCATATTCCCCAGATGGTGTCTGCCCTCCATATTTTGAGGGGTAGAAATCCACACCCGTTGAAGAAAAAGGTATGTTTATTCAGAGAGAGAATGCTTTTTTTTAATCTGATTTTGTTACTAAAATATTATTAATACTAACTAATTAACATATTTGAGGTCATCCCTTTAAACCAATAAAATTGAGTCCTAGTACGTGAAAATCCAGTAACTAGATTAAAAGTTATTCTATTTTATTTATTTATTTTATTTATTTATTTTATTTATTTTATTTATTTATTTTATTTATTTATTTTATTTATTTATTTTATTTATTTATTTTATTTACTAATTTTCAATTTTAAATGTTAATTAATGTCAAAATAAAGATTATAATTAATATTTCTAATTATGACCTTAACAAATAGATAACACAATAAAATTTCTTAACTTAAACCCTGAGTTAATGTCTTGATGAGGTAAAGAAAATTTCATGATTCAGAAGAACATTTTATTTTTAGTTCCTTTTTCATTTACTTAATATAAATTTATCAAACTATTCAACTGAATTTTATTTTGTTAAAAAGATAAAATTTTTAAATGTTTTAGTAATGATGGAATTACTGTAATTCATTTAGATAGACCTTTTGGTTTCATCTAAACTATGTGGTGATTGACTCTTGGGACATATCGTGAGATATAACATCTAAATATCTAACTAAGCAACTTTATAATTTTGGACCCAAACTAAAGACGAGAATTCTTAAATCAAATAACAAAACAAAATCAATTTCATGCTGGACTTTTTGGGTAAAACAAATCCAATGCTTGCGTTACGTAGAGAAAGAAGGAAAAGCGCTAAGATATCCCATAGCTGCCAACTTTGCTCTTTTAGCCGGAAGATTTTTCAAGTGCTAGCGAAATGAACTTAAATATCTTTTTTCAATATAATTTTTTTTAAATATAATTTCTTAAAAATATTTTAACTTAAGAAGGCTTGATAGTTACACTTAATTGTGTTAATTCCTAACTAAATTGAAGAAACGTGTATAGCTTTTCCATTGGCACTTTAATTATACTCCGATAAAATCAAGAGAACTCTACAATGGTTAAGTTAAAAACCAGTTTGACAAAATTTCTAATTAAAAAAGAAGAAGAAAAAAGTAAAATTTTAAATTCCAAAAGATAAGGCTGTTGATCAGTACAGAATAAATACAGCTAACTTAAAGCTGCATAAAAAATTCAGATTTTTATTTCTTAACTGAGAAAAAATATTCTCCACCTATCCTTTCTTGATGGAACAATAAAAGAAAAACCGAATTTTTCTTCAACTCAAAAAATTTAAATATCTATTTAAAATGTATAAAGCGATACATAGCAAAGATTAATAATTTTAAGATGTAAAAAATAAAGAAAAAAAATAATGTTACCTGCAATTAAATTTCCAAACAGACAGCCAAGATTTGGCAAGCTGCCAATCCATGTTATTTCATCAGGAGTCACATCAGAGAACCTGCTACCCGGCCTCTTCATATCAGCAGTAGCAGGTGCCGAATATGAAGTAATCACTCCAAGTACGACGGCATACAGCAAAGCAGATGCAGCAGCAAGCCTGATGTTGGTCAGGCTTACAGCAGGCAACAAAGTTTCAGCACTTTTTCCCATAGCATTTGCGAAAACTTTCGTATTTGATAATGTTGGCATTTCTGACATATATGTTATTGTTTTGATAAATTATAAGAGTAAAAATCAAAAGGCTTCATTCTGATCATTTCAAGTTAATAAGATGAGGTAAATAACATTTTTGAGTCAACATAATGAACTATGTTTAAAATTAGTTGTCATTTATTTCAAGGTTCGTAAAAAAAGTGATTTCAGTTTTAAAGTATTCAAGGGCGTTTATATTAATCTGATGCGACATCGAAACTTGATAAACTATAAACGTCAATTTGATAAAATATGAATGTCAATTCCTTCTAATATGTCATTATCGTAACAAATAAAATAATAACGATCAGGTGTTTCTTTTCATTAAATGAAATCAACACTTTTGTGATAACGATAACATATTCGAGATAAGAGGATCTAAATTATAAATTTTTTTTTTAAAATCTACATTTATAGTATTATTACTAGGTTACATAAAACAAAAACTTGAAATATCGCAAAATAATTACAATAAAAATATCATTTTATTGCGTTGAAAATTAAAATGACCATTTTTATAAAAATGTTGAATTTTCTTACTTTAAAAGATGGATAATTATTCCGCAACAATACGTTATTTCATTTCAACTACATAAACACACACGGAAATTACGAACTTTGTGGTAGAAATATCCGAAATTATTACAAATACTTAAATTAAACACATTTCTATTTGGTTTTGGTATTTTTTTAAAAATTAATTACAAAACTATTGCTGAAAATATCAAATAACAGGATATTATATCTGAAATTCTCCACTTCAATCACACAGCCACGTTTGTTCAATTCGAAAGATTCCATAACACTAACAACTTTATTCAGCACCTGCGTAAGAAATAAATAACTTCGTCATCGGTTTTGGACATATTTTATGAGAGTTTTATTGCCATATATCAAATTACGTGATTATTCATCAAATCAGGAAGTTGATTGAAATTCCAAAAAGTAACACTCAGTCGTTATGATATTTCTTTTTATGAACCTTAAAGATTTTTTATTATTAACTAAGAACTCAGAGGGAAAAAAAATTAACTTAAAGTTCAACATTAAAAGCTTCGAATTCAAACAAGCAGCAACAAATCTAGTTAGTTCTATTTTTTAAAACTTTTTTTTTCATATTTTCCTTTACAAATATGCTTGTCATTTATATAAATTTCATTTCGTTTGTCACGTCTTAGAAAATTAAGCACTAACCCCATTTTATAAGTAAACATTTTGATAACGACTTTCATCGTGTCTTTTCATTAGCGCCATTATTTTTTAAGGTTTCAAATTAACCCCTAGCTGCTTTATTAATAAAACTAGTGACCTAAAATTTTATAAAATTGCAAATTAAATAACTGAACGCATGAATATGCACTTGCAAATAAATGAGGAAAAAAAAATTTATTATGAAAAACTACTTTATACATAAATATGACCCAAAATCGATTAAAAATTCACAAAAAATATACAACGATATGAAAAACACAGAGGGAACAAGGATATAAGTTAATGAATATTTGTTAATTTCTTAGTAATATGAGATATTTTTACTTAAAAAAAAACACAGAATATTATGAAAAGAAAAAAAATTATTTTAAAAAATGCACAATGAAATGAAAAACACAATGTAACGATCATTTATGAGATTTTAAAAAATATCTACTAATCTCTTCGAATGATAATTGCTTTGTTTCGGGTAGTACAAAGTAACTGAAAACAACACTAAGGAAAGTAAAGGATGCGAAAAACCAATACATGCCGTAATCACCCAAAACATCCCTTAAGCTATCAAAGGATTTGCTAACAGCGAATCCAAATATAGAAAGACAAACAGTTGAGATGGAAAGCACAGTGCTTCGGTACTGCACAGAAATCATTTCAGGTATCATCACAAACGGAATTGAACCAATTCCAAAGGTAAATATGAATAAGTAAGCAGAAAAACACAGTATTGGAACATAGCCCATTACACTATTTCTCACGGGATGATACTCCAGTATATAGCTATAAATACCCAGACAAATTAGCATAAATGATGTCCCAGCACCAGACAATATGTACAGCTTTCTACGACCGAAATTATCGATGACAACACCACACGCGACACTCGCGAAGATTTGCACAGCGGCTAAAATTGTAGCAGCAAGATTGGGATCGATTGTACTACCAGCTCTTTGGAAGATTTCGACAGTGTACGTTATGATTGGTCCAAATCCAGAGGTTGGGAGAAAAAAGAACAAAGCTATAGAAATCAAAAGTGGTTTATAAAGAATAGGGTTTCTGAAGTCCTGCAAAGTAAGTGGCTTGTTCTGTTTCTCAGAGCGAATAACTTCCATAATCTTTTCAATTTCCGCATTGTAGTTAGAACGTTTACCATGGAGGAATTTCAGCCCATTTGCTGCTTCATACAATCTTGACTCTCTGACCAACCACACGGGAGATTCTGGCATGAATGCCATCATGAAAGCAGAGAATACAGTCAGGATGACTACACTAATTGCCAGCCATGACCATCTTAAAACAAGTCCAAGGCTCATTACTAAAAGAATTCCAAGATTATTGAAAAACGGTAAACCGGATGAGAGCATGCCCCGTATGTCTTGGGGAGCTATTTCGGCAACATACGCTGGAATTGCAACAACGTACAATCCAGTGCAAAACCCTGAGATTATTCTTCCTGCACAGATCCATGCAACAGATGATGAATAGGCAATCATAAGCCAGCTTGATGTAAACAAAATGGAAGTTAACATCAAGGCAGTTTTTCTCCCATACCTATGTGTAAAATAACCTGAAAATAAATAAATAAAAAATGAATGATTTAATAAAACATGTGTAATAAGATAAAAACATCTCAGTAAATTGTAAACTTTCAAAATATTAAAATATACAATCAATTATTATACTTATGTATTTTAAAATTTCAGTTCGTTTCAACTTTTCCCACTTTTCTTTTGGTGATTTAATAACTTACCCAAATATAATACTCTGGAAATTAAACTTCCGAAATAGAGTATAATTTTTTTCTGTTTAAAAATTTATTAATATTTTAATTTTTGAATCTTTTAGAGGAAAAACCTAATTCTAGAAACCAAACTCATAAAAAATTACATTGAATGAATGATATATATGAAAACCCAAAGAAATATGCAATTGATTATTATTAATGCTTATAATATTTTTGAAATTTTTAAATGATTACATTTTACTATATTTTAAACATAAGTTGTAAAAAATTGAAGCAATACTTGCAATAAAATTACAACTATGGATTCGCTGCGATTATCATTTGGTGATTAAGATAATACATATGCACACAAAAAAAACTATTACATTTTGAGAAAAGACTCTTTATTTCATTTTGTCTCATTGTTTAATTCTAAAACTGGTCTTGCACATGTAAAACTGGTCTTACACGCTGTAAAAAATTTTAATTATAAAATTTGAATAGAATAAAATTTTACAACACGATTACAGAAAAATTCCGCATATCAGCAATAACTTCAATTCAATTTGCCTTTTAAAATAACAAAAAAAAAAAAAAAAAAAAAAAAAAAAAAATTAAAGTGTTCGTAACGTATACAAATTAAAATTTTAAAAAATAATAGCTAAACGCAGCTTAAATTTCTAAAACAGGAAATAAATGAAGAATATATACCAAAAAATAAGACTTATTTTAATTTCTTTACATTATTTGTTAGTATTAATTTCATGTTGATTATAAATAACTTTTATTTTGAGAAAATATATGCTTACAGGTTGATTAATTACAAACATAGAACATATAATTATTTTAAATATAATCTATCTTCCTTTATAATTATTGATTCGAGATTTTTTAATTAATTTATGGACTAGTCTAAATCAAAAATGATTTTCTCTTATAAGTGAAATTTCCTCAATTAAAATGGAATAAAACATCAAAAAATAAAAATAAAAAAACATATTCACCTTATTGTTGACAGAAAAATAATTTTTTTTCTTGAATAAAATAATAAACAATGGTTCAATTTTTTTAAAAAAATACATATTGTCTCCACCTAACTATCTTTTCAATTTTGATAGAAAATGCAAATCGTCAATACAAAAATATTTTATTAATGTTCAATCACTTTTAACCGTAGACTATATAAATTATATTTCACTTATATATTCTCCTTGAATTTATATTATTTGCTCAAAATGTTCCTACAATTTTGAAAGCGGTTAAAGAGCTTATTGTGAGCTTTGTTAACTTAAGCTTTAAATGTAGAAGATATTTACCCAGGAAAGTGAAAAAAGGAAACATTGAAATATAATTTTTTTTCTCTACAGAAGAAATATAAATTAATGCATATACACATCATTATAGCACTATACAGCATAAGTTAAATATTTGATTTGCAACTTAAATGCAAATAGTTATAAAAATATGCATTAATACATTAATAATAATAGACTTACCGCCCAAGGCATTAGCAGGAATTCCTCCAAGCAATGTCAAGCTACCCATCCAAGTTATATCGTCTTCCGTTATATGCTGCATACGACTTCCCGGTTTTCTCATATCCATAGTTGCTGGGGCAGTGTACGATACGGTCATACCCATGGTCAAAATGAATAAGTAAGCCGATATACAGGCCAGATATATTTTCCCATAGCCATAGCCCGAAACGGGCTCTGGCGGTTCATTGGTTTCCACTGAGCTCATAGTTCTTAGCTTTTCGGGAGAACACGATGCCATATTAATTACAATTAAACATGAAATTAATCCCACAAAAGCAGCTTTAATGTGAGCTGAGGGTACCACGATTTAATCACCTTTGAATTTCAAAATAATTTTTCTTGGATTAAAATTATTAATTTTTTAACAAATCGAAAAAAGTATCGACTCTGGCGGAAAATAGCAAAAAAGGGCTATGTCAAAATTTCGTCACTTCTATTGTTTAAGAGGAAAGTTATCGCATACAGTGAAGAACAGTTATCTTAAACAGGCACGCAAAATATAGATAGCGAACAAAGAAAGGGTAATCTAAAATGAAACGAAATTATTTTGTTCGCACAGATTAGCATTCCAAATAGTGAATGCATTGGTTACAAGATGTGTGAGATAATCACGATAAAATTAGAAATTTAAATCAGAAGAACAAAACAAATGACAAAGCGTAATTAGAATAAAATGGTTCATTTTAAGTACGTCGTTCAATTCACTGAAAATTTGCTATTTAAAACCAGAATTATTTCACAGACTCAATCAAATCGGTGGCATAAATATCGTCTACGTTTATTGCGCCAACATAAGTTGTTAGTGAAATAATTGCACTAACATTACCAAAGTAATTGCTAACAATGTAAACAAAATTAGTTAAAATACTATGAATCATTTATGCCATCAATCGATCTCTTACGTAAAAAAACAAGGTAATATTGAAAAATTAAGTTAAAACTAAAAGGGCAAATCGTGCAGAATCCCTAGTTATTTTATTAACTGAAAACTTTGCTTTTATAACTATTACTTTTGGTCTACTCCCTTAATAAAATAATCCTATTTTATACTTTGAATTTAATACAGTTTTGTCACGATTTCACAGTTAACGAAAAAAAAATTGCAAATTATAACAAAGAAATAAAATACACGCATTTGAAAAATTGAAATAAAATTCCAATGAGTTTATTTCAAATTTCTAAGGGTAAAGGAAAATTTTCGAATGAAATAATGTTAAGGTAAAGAAAGAAGAAAATTTTGTTCGTTTCTTCTGTTTAAAACTATAATTTCTAGCTGAATAAAATTATTGTTAATTACAGATTAATAATTATACAGTTGGACTTCTATTTAACGAACTTTCGAGGAACTTCTATTTAAAGAACTTTATTTTTTTTCGAGGAACCAAGAACATTTTGGAAATTTCTTCGTAAAATAACTTCCAAATAGAGAAGCGAATTTTCTATTCAACGAACTTTTCTTTGAGAGCCACTTTCCTTATTTCTTAAAATATTTCAGAAGATTTCACACTTGTTAATGCATTTTATGGAAGGAATGATCTTGAATTGATTTTCGCAGCTACTTAACTTTTAGAGAAAGCAGTAAAATCTCTACCCTTTTTAGTTTGCATGTCGTACAGGAATCCATGCAAAAAATCAATTTACGAGAAAGCATAATAGAAATTTCTTTGGTGATGTTACAAATCATACTATTTGTAACAGCTTTCTTAAAGCTGGATTCATAGTCAGCGGAAAGTGCGGAGGACCAGGATGATATTCCTTTAGAAGAACTTAAAAAAATGTGGGTACAGCTAAGGAAGAACCACGAAATTGACGATGATGTACTGATTAATGAATGTCTTTTTATTGATTCTGAAGCTGCAACCACAGAAACATTAACTGAATCGGATTTTTTGGACAGTATGGAAGAAAAAAAACAATACAGCAATAAATTGTGAGGAAGTCGAAAAAGATGAAGACAGATATGATGAAGAAATCACCATACCGCCATATGATGAAATGTCAAAATCATTTGAAACAATTCGATAGCAGATAATTTACAAGAGTAAGGTGTATCAATTGCTATTTCAATTATGTCTAGTGTTTAAAAATTTAAAACCTGTTTTGTGTTATTTAAGTATTCAAAAGGGAGATTTTCTATTAAACGAATTATCCATATAACGAACTTTTTATCAGGATTTAGTGACTTCGTTAAATAGAGGTCCGATTGTATACTAGCATATATTTATATTTTTTAGTGCTAACTAATGTTATAAATGTATTATAAAAATTTCATATTATAATCACAACTAATACCCAACGTTTGCAACAGTTTAAATTTATTTGTGACGGTTGTTATAGCATAAACTCAACCCTGGCTCATACTATTATTTATCTCAATAGAAACAAATGGTAGTGAGCGCATTAATTAAACACATAGTTTGAAGGGGGGGGAACAGTTTACTCGCTGTGGGAACATTAATTCAATTAGTATTTAGTAAACATTCGATATTTTCTCTCTTTGATTTAAGAACCAATTTTATTCCTGTTAGCATAAAAGGTTTTTAGAGTTTTTGACTATTTCTTCATCTCTAATCCATACTTGAATCAAAGAACAAAATAAAATATTTTTCGCTCCACAATTCACTTTTACGAACATTTCGCCTGAAAACACCCATAGTTTCTCTTTCAGATAAAGATACAGAGTGTTTGAGCAAAGCGTTAAGTGATAGAGCCCTCGCTTTCCAATTAGGTGAACCAGGTTCGAATCCCAGCAATGGCTGGTCGATGCGAATTCTGCACCCAGCTCGCCCCGACCACTAAGCTGATGTAAAATATCCTCAGACGGATCATGGGTTAGAATCTCCTTAGACCATGAGAGGTTACCGTAATGACTAACCGTGAGAGGTTTTCGAGGTTTTCTTCTCCATGTAACGTAAATGCGGGTTAATTTCATTTTAAAGTCCTCCACGAAGACTAGCTAGTCACAATACTTGATCAAGAAGCTCCCTTGCCTTCAGGATATGCTACTGAGTTGAACATTTGTAGTTAAGAAGGTGGGAACCTGGGAACACCGCGTGCCGTTAGCATACGTCTTTAGCCCTGATGGCTCAGGGGATAGAGCGCTTGCCTCCCAATGAGGTGAACCCGGTTCAAATCCAAGCGATGGCTGGTCGATACGAATTCCGCACACAGCTCGCACCGACCACAGTGCTGACGAAAATATACTCAGTTGTAGTCCCATGGGTTAGACTCCTTTTGATGTCGAGCTAACCTTGGGAAGTTTCGTGGTTATCCTTTTTATACAACGCAAATGCGGGTTAGTTCCATCAAATAGTCTTCTACGAAGCCAAATTTCTCCCAAAACGTGATCCAGAATTTCTTTTTTCTTCTAATTTGTGTTCAAAATTACAAGGCAATGGAATTGAACATAAACTCAAAGTCTGGTCGGCTGTTCAAGGATGTTTATAAGATAAAATATAACTAGTCATTGCATTTTTGGAACTATTAAAAGGATGCAAGTCATTTTTGAAAGAAAACTCTTGTTTAACAGTGCTCGCCTTTTTTTCTGCTATTATTTTCTTGTATCGGTCGCTGTTCATTATTTTTTCACAAGAACGAGTGGTCCTACGCCATCATATGAAAAACAACTTTAAATATTTTCTTTACCTTAACCCTTTGCTAACGACTGGTAAAACTGATGATATCAGACGCAGTAAGCAAAATGTTAAGTTAGAAAATGCGAAAATTTACCGTCGGATCAATTACTATACTCGCTACATTAGTTACTTCTTACTTTACAATTCCAGGTTATGTTATCTACCATAATTTTCCTTACATATTTACTGAACATTTACATAAACCATATTACCAAAATATCACCTATCCAGTTCAAGAAATAAATTATTACAACATAAAATCAGTTATTAACAATGAGAATGCAAAACATATTTTATATATCTCATAAGAAAAAATACGAAGAAAAAATTTAGGATCAGAGAATTTTCAAAAATACATTACACATAAATATTTACATAAACATAACAGAGTTAACATCATTTGACAGTCGTCAAATCAGTCATTTGACAATCACGTTTCTTAGAAAATGATTTACTGATATCCTCAAAAGACTTATTCTTTGTTTCTGGCAGTATGAAATAACCAAATGGAACGCTACATAGAGACAAAAATCCATAAGTCCAATATACACCATGATCTCCGACCAATGATCGCAAACCATCATACGATTTGTTAGAAGAAAACGCAAAAAATGAAATTACAACAGTTGATATGGCAAGGACAGTGCTTCGAAACTGGACCGACACCATTTCAGGAATCATAACAAACGGTATTGGACCCATCCCTATATTAAATACAAAAGCATAAATAGCAAAGCACACTAAAGGTATATAGCCTATCGCGCCTTGGGTCACTGGTTGGTGTTTCATAGCAAAGCTGTAAGCACCTAAGCAAATTAGCATAATTGATGTTGCTGAGGCAGACATAATATAAAGTTTTCTGCGGCCATATTTATCGATTATTAGACTGCAGGAAACAGCAGCCACTATTTGTATGGCTGACAAAATTATTGCGGCGACATTTGGATCAAGTGCGCTACCGAGTCTTTGAAAAATTTCGACAGTATAAGCTAAAATGGGTCCTGAGCCAGATGCTGTCCAAAAGAACATTAAAGCAACCGAAATTGAAAGAGGTTTGTAAAAGGTCGGATTTTTTAAATCTTGCAACGTGATTGGTACGTTTTGTTGCTCGTTGCGGAGCGTCTCAGCTATTTGTTGCACTTCTTTCTTGTAGGGAAAATGCTTACCACGGAAGAATTTCAGACCATGGGCTGCTTCCTCCAGTCTTGATTCTCGCACTAACCACACGGGAGATTCTGGCATAAAGACCATCATACATGCGGAACATACTGTTAAGATGACGATACTTATGGCCAACCATGACCATCTTAAAACAAGTCCAAGGCACATTACAAGAAATATTCCAAGAGTATTAAATAATGGTAGACCGGATGAGAGCATTCCCCGTTTATTTTGGGGAGCAATTTCGGCCACATACGCTGGAACGGCAACAACATACAATCCAGTGCAAAATCCTGAAATTATTCTTCCAGCACATATCCACGCAACTGAAGAGGCGTAAGCTATCATCAACCAGCTTGATGTAAACAAAATAGAAGTCAACATCAATACGGTCTTTCTTCCATATTTTTGAGAAAAATAACCTGTAAAAACGTAAACAAATTTTAAGTGAATGAACAAAGCAGGAATGCTATAAACAGTTTTAAGTCACCAGTTCATAATTTTTTTACAAAAACAAAGCAATTATGTTTATTTATTTCCATTTGTAAAGCTATTTTTAAATAAAAATGAGTAATAAAATGCCTACATTGAATGTTTACAGCCTACGCAAGAGCAGAGTTATATCTAATACTTTGAAACACAACTTTTGATTAGTACAAATGTACTACGGGTACCATAAAAAAAATTTATTATTTAAATTATTGCCATTTTTTTAAATAACGAATAATTTTATCTTGTAAACTAAAATTGTACGAAAATGGAAACTTAGTCAAACATCAAATTATGTATAAAGACCTACATAATGGAAAGAAAATTATTAGCAGCATCTAATATTTTCTCCATGATATAGATATAAAATACTTTGCAGGGACATTTACGTAAATAGGTACACTTCAAATATAAGTTGTTCTGAAGGGACTCTTTTTGTTCTACGATATATATCGTGGTTTTGAGTACTATTCGCTTTAGGGAAAATTTATATTATAAGCTGAACACCAATTTGAAATTCTTGTAAAAAATATCCATCTTTGTTTGTTTGTATTCCTAAGTTTTCTAAAGCTTGCAGAAAGTTATAAAAAAAATTGTCTATTAAATTCGTTTTGAAATTTCTTGAAAATTAAAAAGTTTGCTGATAAAAAAAAAATTTTTTTTCAAAGCTAAATATTTTTACTGAACATTTTAGATTTCTCGAGAATGACTTATACGATTTCCCTTACATTTTACCGTATCATATAATCCTATTCTAAAACCAACATTATCGCAAAATGGCCATTTTGGATAAATAACAGAAAGTTTAAGTCGGTTTAATTATTTTTTTAAAAAAATAAATAAATAAAACAGTTGTTAAAACTAAGCAAATTTATAAAAAATCGTTATCACTATTGTGGATGAAAAATTATAATTTAAAGATGGTCTGCACAAAACAAGTTTCCATTCATTTAAAAGTTAATAAAATAATATAATAAAAGAAAATAAACAAAATCTACATACCACCTAAAATATTTGCAGGTACACCCCCAAGCATACTCAGGCTACCGATCCAAGTTATCTCATCGTCAGTTATGTGCTGCATCCTACTCCCTGGCCTTCTCATATCCATGGATGCTGGTGCAGTGTACGAAATAGTCATCCCCATGGACAATATGTACAAATACGAAGCAACACACGCCACATAGATCTTCCAGCTAGTGACAACTATTTCAGAAGTTTGTATTGCGTCACATTCAACTGAAACCGGCTGTAATTTTTTAGGTTCCGGGGACGTCATTTCGAATTTGGAAATCAACTTTTCAAACAATAAGATAGTTCAACAGTCGACGTCGAAACATAATATGACCTACTACATTTTCCTACATTCCAGCAGACATTTATAAAACATTTCCCTTGCTTGTAGTTTGAAAACCAAACACGAAGAGAGTAAATGAATAATTTAAATAAGACAATATTTTAAACAACTCAAAGTTATTGCACGGAACTATTATGGGAAATACAAGGCTTATCTTAAATGAATAGGTATAAACAAAAGATTGATAATAAACAAAAGTAAGATAACCAAAAATCATAATACAAAGGAAAGTGTCAATGTTAAAAACTATAGTTTTATCAGTTTAAAAAAAAACGCGATTAAAAAAATTCAAATTTACTGTGAGTGTAAAACAACGAAGACTAAAAATATGGGGAAGTTATTATTGGTAGTAATATTTTTGCGCAATAACTACATTTACTGCTTAAACCTACTCAATTTCAAACAAATAAGTTTTCAAATAAAAATAAAAAAAACCGTATACGATTACAAAAATTAGAAACTTTTGTTTTCTTTAAGTAGAAATTTTATTAATTAATGTCCACAATTTAACAGTTAAAGACTAAGATGCCTTAGCCTAAGTTGAAAATGTACTGTTGTGTATTTTTATTAAACAAGATACGGAACTACAGCGACATTGTTATATAGGTTGCCAAATCAATTTTAATTGATACATTCTAGATCCTGTATGTATCAGGTATGTGTTTAATCAATAAAAAATATCTCTCTTAGAGTCTTAGATCTGAAAAATCGTCAACACATTTGATAAATATTTTTAACTGTTAAATTTCAGTAAATTTCCTTTCTGGATAAAAAAAAAAAAAAAGAATTTTGACACTTATTTTGAGATTAAATTATGCTCTTTTATGACACAAAAGTAACTTTTTTTTATGAAAGATAAAAGAGTTATAAAACTCATTTTGAATTTAAAGTATGCTTTTGTGACACGAAAATAACTTCTGTTTCATGGAAGGTAAATGAATTGTAAAACTCCTTTTAAGTTTAAAGCATGTTTATGTGACACAAAAGTAATTTTTGCTTTAGTTGTGCACCTTATGAAACCCAATATATGTTCTAAAGTGCTATTTGCAATCATATTTTAAATTATTCATAAAATAACAAATATATCCGTAAAAAAATTTTTTTGCTGTCAAACCGTTAAAAAAGCTTCAAATATTAAATTATAAAATAGAAAAAAATTAAAAACTGGGCATTTCTGTGAATATTAAAATAACAGAAATTATATGCGTCATTCCATTAAACTTTACAAATAGACATCAGAATCTCAATGTTTCAAAAATTTTAGATTTTGAAAGGACAAACTTATGTTGCAATAAGTTGCAAAACACTAAAATGATTTATAAGTTAAACTTTTTTTCAAATCAATTGAAAAATAAATTGACCCTCTTTATTTCATCAAGACGCATCCGAGACGCTTCAAACATTTCATAACTTAAGAGAGTAAGCAAAAATTAATAATAAAAGTAATCAAATAAAAATTATTTTAATCTGAATAAAAGGAATACAGAAGACACGAGAATTTGAAATGCAGACACCCAAGACATTAAAAAGAGTATTTTTTTCCTAAAATAAGAATAAGGCTTTTTTTTATTACAGATCCCAATTAAAATTCAATTATGAATTCCCCAAGAACAAAATATGCCAATGAAATCATAACCTAAGCAACATATCCCTATCTATCAACTTAAGTATAAAAAAAACTCCCTATTACTGTAATTACTATAATAACAAAGATAACATCTTTCTTTCGTGTGAAGAGAATACCAAATAAAAGATAAGAGGAGAAAGGATAAGGAAGAGGAAATTCCAGGGGAGTGGGAGAGAATCGATGTCCCCACTCTTCTCCTTCCTCTCTCTTATACACCCCCCACATGTCCTGGAACGCACCGCACTGCGCCACGTGATGCAGAGGATGAGTCATCCTCCAGGACAACCCCTCTGCTATCGAACGGCCAGGGGTGTACAGGCATTCCGATACTCCAGAGGAATAATGGGGGCATTTTTCTCACAATCCCTTCAATAATGGCATCTCTTCCCCCCTACCTCATTCATACTATAGGCGGTAGTGATTTCAAAAATATTCACGATAAGCGCCCTTGAAATTTTTATTAAATTTCATTCTGATTTGAGCTCTTTCTTTTTCGAAGACAACCAAGAACTCAGACAAAATATCATTTATTTTTGTTGTAACTTTAGGTTAAAGTTATCGACAGTGGAGAATATTCCAGCAGAAGAATCGATCCCAAATGGAATAAATGGAAAAATTACATTTCTACTTTTGTTGTTAAAACGGTCTTAAATATGTTCAGATGCTAGCAAGTACTGTAAAAACCTGAATTATTCGACTTAATTTAATGGAATGTGAGTCGAAAATGATTTTTTTAATGAACTTTACTGAGAAATACCGAAATCGGAGATAGCGGACATCTGCAGATAACAATTGCGTAACATCTTTGGTGAGTGCCAGGAATATTTCTTGATTCCGATATTTAATATATTCACTGAGAAAAATCGAAACTGGAGATGGCCGACATTCACCAGTAAAATTACCTAGTTTCGTTGTTGAATGTCCGGAATGTTTTCGAATTTAATATTTAATATATTTACAGAGAAAAATCGAAACTGGAGATGGCCGACATTCACCGATAAAAATTACATAGCCTCTTTTTGAATGCCCGAAATGCTTCTTGATTTTAATATTTGATATATTTACTGAAAAAAACTGAAACTGGAGATGGCCGACATTCACCGGTAAAATTATACAGCTTCTTTGGTGAGCGTCCGGAATGACTTTCGATTTTGTTTACAGAGAAAACTCGAGATAGGCAACATTCACGGGTGAGCCTCTTTGACAAAAAGCTCACCAGAATGTTTTCCTGATTTTAATATTTATTTGACATTAAAAATAACCAATAAAAATTGGTTAAGAAAAACGTTTGAAAGGGGAATACCGGACAATATATACCAGGTTATGGCCAACACATCCTTGTCGGATCAATATTCCGATTTTTCCGGTAACTATTAATAATAACCACGTCTAATGGTTAATGCGTTAAAAATATGCTGGCAAATATTCCCAACAAAGATGTGCAAGATAGCTAAGGGTCATTGCCTAGTTTTCACTTGCCCGGTATTCCCTGTATTTATTTTTTTCCTAATAGGATAATTTTATCATCAAATAAACAAACATCAAAAAACGTTCCGGTAATTCATCAAGAAATTTTGGGATTGTTGACATTCATCGATTAATGTCGACAATCAAATAAATTTCAATATTTTCAACCAACTATGTAAATAGTTATTCAGAAAATGATTTAACACATTTTACAAGACTTTTAAAAGTAAATATATGAAACGTTTTGATAAAAAGCCAGAAAAAAATTATTGAAAAGTATGTTGGATACAATAAATTCAACGCTTTCGTTTACAAATATATATATATATATATATAAGGAGGCTCCGCCCCCTGCTCGTTCCTCGAACCAACCCCNTATATATATATATTAATTTGTTTCAGGCCAAGATTTCGTGAAATCCTTTAAGAAAAATGCGTTTTTGATAATTATCAAATGGGTTTAAGTGTTGTTTGTATGCAGGTAAATTTCATATGGTCTATTTTTATTTATTATTTTATTTTCATTTCTTGATTTTTCTTTTTCTTCTTAATCTTCGAAATTTCAAAATAAAATGGTTTAAATAAAGAAATAAAAATATCTATTCACATATATGTAAGATCATAAATATATCGATTCCTGGATGAGTTTAAATTTTTTTCTAAAAAATATACATTTTCGAAGTCTTAATATTTGAAATTCGATGGAAAAAATTATAAATCTCAGATTCCACAATTTTAAAGATATCATTTTTATTCAGTAAAGAATTTCTTTATTTCAAAATCTAAAGTTCAACACATATAAAGCTCTTATTTTCCTTTTTCATAAAGGGAAAAAAAAGGGGGGAATAGCGTGATAAGGTACATAAAAGAGAATGAGCAAGAAAAATAGGTCAGCATTTTTTAAATCGATTTGAAAGATACAGGGAAAAATAGCTTGAAATATTCCGTAACCAGTTTTGCGAAAAAACTTCAATACTTACGAATTGCATTTGTATATGTTTCCAAGATTATAAAAACAGTTTTGTTGGAGCAAAAGAGTTTTGCGCTGCAGGCACGAAATTATTTTCATAAGTACCAGCAAAAACGGGAAACGGCAGATGGGTAGCGATTCACTTTTTTTTTTCAGAACTATTAGATTTTTTTTTTTTTTTTTGAAAAAAGGTACATACAAAAAGATATTTTCTTCTTTATTGCAAAAATAATGTAATTTAGTAAAATTATTAAACAAAATAATAAATAAGAAGGTAAATAAAAAATTTTTGATAAAATTTATGTAATATAAATAATTCCTTTAGCAAAATTAGAGAAAATAATTTTAATTTTATATGGACCCTCCTCAGCATACATGAAACTAATTTCACATAATAAAAAAACATTCATTTAAACAGCTTTATGCAGTGGTTCTCAAAAGGTATCCCTTGGATTCCTATGATTCTGCATTGCGAAAAAACTTTCATACCTAAAAATTGCATTTGTATATGTTTCCAAGATTATAAAAACAGTTTCGTTGAAGCAAATGAGTTTTGCGCTGCAGGCACGAAATTATTTTCATAAGTACCAGCAAAAACGGGAAACGGCAGATGGGTAACGATTCACTTTTTCTTTTTTCAGAATTATTAGATTTTTTTTTTAAAGGTACATACATACACAAAAATATTTTTTACTTTATTGCAAAAATAATGTATTTTAGTAAAATTAATAAACGAAATAAAAAATAAAAAGGTAAATAAAAATTTATTGATGAAATTCATGTAATATAAATAATCCCTTTAGCAAAATTGGGGAAAATAATTTTAATTCTATATGAACCCTCCTTGGCATAAATGAAACTAATTTCACATAATAAAAACACACATTTAAACAGTATTATGCAGTGGTTCTTAAAAGGTGTCCCTTGGATTCCTATGATTCTGTATAAGAGTCACAAAGTTTCCGAGAGTTTGGATTTTTCATAGCCAATTTTTCAAACATTTCATCATAAACTAATTTATAATTTTTACTTTGAAATTATGCATAGACAAATATATTTTTTTCTTTATTGCAAAAATAACGTAATTTAGTAAAA